AAGATCTGAACCCCAAGAGCTCTTAGCCAAATGAGCATGTCAGCTCCATCCAACTCCCCAGCTCCAGGGAGCTGCCTTTCACAGCTCCACTCATCATCCCCACATGCCACCAAAGAAATGCTTCGATTCCACCTTTAGCACACAGAGGGAGATGCACGAATAGCCGAGAGGAATATCAAAGGGCCTTGAAATCGGTCCTAGACCCCCTTGAATTGAGTCCTTCTCTCCCAAACCTTCCCCCAAGCCAAGGCTTCTGGCACAGACTCCTGGGAGGAGGCAGAGTATGTAGTGATAAATCAGTTTTCCAAGGCACAGGTCTTGTTTTTTGACAGCTTGTTGATTGCGACTCACCCGCCAGATCCCCAGAATTCACTGGTCCCCCTGGATGATCCACATAAGGAAGTTGGGTTTTGGGGACCCCGATGTTCAGAAAAGACAGGGTCACAGTCTAATATGGTTTGTATAAGGCCTCCTTCCTTCTTGGGGCTTTCCGGGAGAAGAGTCTTAGGGGAGCAGAGGTCTAAGCATCTGAGAACACCGCACTGCCTTGTGTCCTGCTTGGAAAGGAGTGAGTTGCTGCTGCTCTACGTCCAGAGGACTTCAGGGTCCAGTTGTCCATGGCTCCCCTGCTGCCAGGACAGTCACCCCACGGATGCTCCACCCAGGCAGAGACACTGGCCACCTACACGAGTACACAGCTAACCCACTATAGTGTCATAGTCACAGTGTCCCATGCATCCAGACACATGTGCAAGAATGAGGGAGGAGGCTAGTGGTCAGGGTGGCTGATCCCTTGGGGAAACTGAGGCCCCTGCCTCACCCCTGGATCTCTCTCCAACAGTGGTCAGGAAGTAAGACTTTTCCCTGAAGTTAGTACCCACAGGCCAACACTTGAATGTGTGGTCAGTATAATGAGGGCCTGACATACAAGGCTAGGTGTGCCCAGAGTGGGTGCCGGTGAATCCGCTTCCCCATCTCCTCCTCTGTGGAGTCTGAACTTAAGTCTTACGCCAGCAGGTGGCATCTGACTGCCTTTTGGATTCTGCACTCCACACTCAAAAGTAAAATATAACAATAGTAAGAAAACAAAATCCTCTTTAGCTTCTAGGAACTCATTTTCAGGTTCTGAGCCTGAAAATCTAGAATGATGTTGTTGTTATGTGCCGTCGAGTCGTTTGCGACTCATAGCGACCCTATGTACAACA